GCTCCCGGCCACCGCAGCCTCGACCTGCTGGGCTCTGGCGATCCTTCCGCCTCGGCCTTCGGAGTAGCCGGAATTACAGGCGCGCGCTACCACACCTGGCTGATTTTTTTATTTATTGTAGAGATGAGGTCTCGCTGCCCAGGAGGGTCTCGAACCCGCGGGCTCAGGCAATCCACTCACCTCAGCCTCCCAAAGGTGCGGGATTACAGGCTGAGCCACTGTGCCCGACCAAAACATTTTTTGAGTGGGATGTCACTCTGTTGCTCAGGCTGGAGTACAGTGCAGAGCTCACTGCAGCCTCGACCTTCTGGCCTCAAATGATCCTTCTGCCTCAGCCTCCTGAGTAGCTGGGACTACAGGCATGTGCCATCATGCCCAGCTAATTTTTTGATATTTTGTAGAGATGAGGTCTCACTATGTTGCCCAGGCCGGTCTTAAACACCTGGGCTCAAGCGATCCTCTGGCCTTGATCTCCCAAAGTGCTGGGATTGCAGGTATGAGCCACTGCACCTAGCCAAAACAAATATTAAACATGAAAAATTTAAGAAAAATTTCCTGATATGTGACATGGGTTCTACATATTGAAAGGGCATATCATGTATAAGAAAAAGTTGACCCAGAACACTAAAACCAGACGATTTCCTAGGAAAACGATTGGACTTTAAAGATGAGGGGGGAAAAACCCCTTTGAGCAATGAGAAAAAAGTGCTACTCACTTTCTAGTAAAAAAAAAAAAATTACTTTCTAATAAAAGAAAATGAGATTGGCATCAGATTTATCCATAGACGTATTTTATGCTAGAAACAGTGAAACATTTTCAAGATTTTTTTCAGGCAGACACTATGATCCAAGAATATTACATTCGCTTACATTGTGTAGTTATAAAAGCCACTGACCAAAAAAATGAACATGAGATTTTCTCTGAGGAATCCACCAGAGTAGTGCTTCTCAAACGTTTTGACCTCAGGACTCCTTTACATTTTTAAAAAGTGTTGAAGATCCTCTAAAGAGCTTTTGTTTATGTGGATTGTATCTATCAATATTTAAAGTGTTAGCAATTAAGCGTGAGAAAATTTTTTTTAATATTTATTAATTTATTTGAAAACAATAATAAATCCATTAAGTGCTAACTTAAATAACCAATGGAAAATATAATTTTTCAAAATAAAAACAATTTAGTGAGATGAGTGGCATTGTTTTTACACTTTTGTAGTGTCTTATTATCTAGCTTACTAGAAAGCAGCTGGTGTTGTATATCTGCTTTTGCATTAACTCCATTGCAGTATGCTGTTTTGGTTGGAATGTGTGAAAAAGATTTGGACTCACCCAAATACATCGTTGGGAAAGGGAGTGGTATTTTAATAGGGTTTTCAGATCTTTGTGAACTTTTTTTTTATATGCTACAGCAAAATTCAGGAAGTGCGAGTTTGTTAAAAGTTAATTGCAGAGTGGGATCTGAAACCATAGCGGTGAATTATTTAGACTGTGTTACATTAAAACCCGTTGGTCTCTCTTGCACTTTTAAATGACTCTCCTGTGCACTATTTGGTAACATCATACATTTAGACCAAACTGGTCATTTGAAAAATGTGCATGCAAAATGAGCTATGCACATTCATACCCTTTGTTATACAATATTAAATATTGAACACTTCATTGTACAATTAAAAAAGCACTTTTGATCCTTCTGCCCCAGCCTTCCAAATAGTGGAACCACAGGCACGCACCACTACGCCTAGATAATTTTTTTGACTTATTGTAGAGATGAAGTCCTGCCAAGTTTCCCAGGCAGGTCTTGAACCCCTGGGCTCAGGCAGTCCTCTCACCTGCACCTCCTAAAGTGCTGGGATTACAGGCGTGAGCCACAGTGCCTGGCTGATTGGTTGGTTTTCATATGAACCTTATAATCGATGTGTTTAATTCCAGAAAGGAATTGATGTTTTCTGTGGGAACTGTGTTAAATTTGTAACTTAACTTAGGCAGAATTGACATTATTATAAAGTTGAGTCTTCCTATCTAAGAACAAGGCATGCTTTTCCATTTAAGTTGACTTTTGTCTCTTTCAGTAATGTTTCAAAGTATTCTTCATATACATTTGGATATTTCTACTAAGCTATTGCCTAGATTATTTTATCTTCGTGTTTTAAGTAGTCTTCTCTCCTATTTTACCATCTAATTGTTTAGTATTTAAATATGAAAAAGTTACTATATCCTTTTGTTAATTTTATAATTTGTTACTTTACTAAATTTTATTATTTATAGTAGTTTACCTACTGATTCTCTTGAGTTTTGTCAGCTATGAAAGAGACAAAAGTCAATATTATCATTTGCTAAAAGAGATGTTTTTATCTCATCCTTTTAAATTAATGTTGCAATATCATGTTAAGTGGTAGGCCATTGGAGGCCCCCCTTGTTTCAGATGTCAAGACAGCAGGTAATAGAGGATCTTAATTTTAGATCATGCTCCACAATTGACCATTTGATGCCATGAACTATTTAAGGCTGGATGATGACCTAAGACTTATAGGGAGTCTCAAAGTTTTGTTTCTCTATTTCTCTATTACATCTTTTTTTTGTGTCTAATTGAATTTTTTTTTTTTTTTTTTTTTTGAGTTGGAGTCTCGCTCTGTTACCCAGACTGGAGTGCAGTGGCCGCTGCCGGCCAC